TGTGTTTCCCGGAATGCCGATGGGATATTTGGGATTTGTTTCCTGGAATGTCAATGGGATATTTGGGATGTGTTTCCTGGAATTCTGTGGGTCAGGGATATTTGGGATGTGTTTCCCAGAACGTCAATGGGATATGTGGGATGTGTTTCCCTGGATGTCGATGGGATACTTGGGATGTGATTCCCAGGATTCTGATGGCACATTTGGGATGTGTTTTCCGGGACTCTGTGGGTCAGGGATATTTGGGATTTGTTTCCCAGAACGTCAATGGCACATTTGGGATGTGTTTCCCGGGATGCTGACAGGACATTTGGGATTTGTTTCCCGGAATGTCAATGGGACATTCGGGATGTGTTTCCCGGGATGCTGACGGGATATTTGGGATTTGTTTCCCAGAACGTCAATGGGACATTTGGGATTTGTTTTCCGGGACTCTGTGGGTCAGGGATATTTGGGATGTGTTTCCCAGAACGTCAATGGGATATTTGGGATGTATTTCCCGGGATGCCGATGGGATATTTGGGATGTGACTCCCAGGATTCTGATGGGACATTTGGGATATATTTCCCGTAATGTCAATGGGACATTTGGGATGTGTTTTCCGGGACTCTGTGGGTCAGGGATATTTGGGATTTGTTTCCCGGAATGTCAATGGCACATTTGGGATTTGCTTCCCGGGATGCCGTGGCTGCCAGGCCGTTCCCGGTTTCCCGCTCCCTGCCGGAACAGCCGGAGCAGCCGGATCCAGCACAAGCTGTCGCGGCAGCTGCCGCTCCCCGGGAGCCGGGAAAAGGCAGAGGAGCTTCTCCAGCCGGGAAGGATCCCGCGGATCTTTGTTCCCAAAAACCCGGCTCCCTGCCAGGTGAATCCCAACGATGCCAGATCCCACCGCTCCTGAGCCCACACTCCTGGATCCCACAGCACCCCATAACCCACAGCACCCCATAACCCCATACCCCATAGCCCTGCCCCCCATAACCCACAGCACCCCATAACCCACAGCACCCCGTAACTCACAGCACCCCATAACCCTGCACCCCATAACCCACAGCACCCCATAACCCACAGCACCCCACAGCACCCCATAACCCCATACCCCCACAGAACCCCATACCCCCACACCCCATAACCCCACAGCACCCCATAACCCCACACCCCACAACCTCATGCCCCATTAACCCCACACCCCAGAACCCACAGCACCCCATAACCCCATACCTCATATCTGTGGGTCAGGGATATTTGGGATTTGTTTCCTGGAACGTCAATGGGACATTTGGGATGTGTTTCCTGGAATGTCAATGGGATATTTGGGATGTGTTTCCTGGAATTCTGTGGGTCAGGGATATTTGGGATTTGTTTCCTGGAACGTCAATGGGACATTTGGGATGTGTTTCCTGGAATGTCAATGGGATATTTGGGATGTGTTTCGTTTCCCGGAATGCCGATGGGATATTTGGGATTTGTTTCCTGGAATGTCAATGGGATATTTGGGATGTGTTTCCTGGAATTCTGTGGGTCAGGGATATTTGGGATTTGTTTCCTGGAACGTCAATGGGACATTTGGGATGTGTTTCCTGGAATGTCAATGGGATATTTGGGATGTGTTTCCCGGATTGTCAATGGGACATTTGGGATTTGTTTCCCGGGACTCTGTGGGTCAGGGATATTTGGGATTTGTTTCCCGGAATGTCAATGGGACATTCGGGATGTGTTTCCCGGGATGCTGACGGGATATTTGGGATTTGTTTCCCAGAACGTCAATGGGACATTTGGGATTTGTTTTCCGGGACTCTGTGGGTCAGGGATATTTGGGATGTGTTTCCCAGAACGTCAATGGGATATTTGGGATGTATTTCCCGGGATGCCGATGGGATATTTGGGATGTGACTCCCAGGATTCTGATGGGACATTTGGGATATATTTCCCGTAATGTCAATGGGACATTTGGGATGTGTTTTCCGGGACTCTGTGGGTCAGGGATATTTGGGATTTGTTTCCCGGAACGTCAATGGGACATTTGGGATGTGTTTCCCGGGATGCTGACGGGATATTTGGGATTTGTTTCCCAGAATGTTCGGGATTTGTTTCCCGTAACGTCAATGGCACATTTGGGATTTGTTTCCCGGAATGTCAATGGGACATTTGGGATGTGTTTTCCGGGACTCTGTGGGTCAGGGATATTTGGGATTTGTTTCCCGGAATGTCAATGGCACATTTGGGATTTGCTTCCCGGGATGCCGTGGCTGCCAGGCCGTTCCCGGTTTCCCGCTCCCTGCCGGAACAGCCGGAGCAGCCGGATCCAGCACAAGCTGTCGCGGCAGCTGCCGCTCCCCGGGAGCCGGGAAAAGGCAGAGGAGCTTCTCCAGCCGGGAAGGATCCCGCGGATCTTTGTTCCCAAAAACCCGGCTCCCTGCCAGGTGAATCCCAACGATGCCAGATCCCACCGCTCCTGAGCCCACACTCCTGGATCCCACATCCAGCCCCAGTCCCCAAAAGGCTCCCCACATCCAGCCCCAGTGCCCAAAGGGCTCCCCATTAACACTACACTCTGTGACCCCTGTGTCACCCTGTCCCTGTCCCTGTCCCCATCCCAGTGACCCTAGGGCCTGTCCCTGTCCCTATCCCAGTGTCACCCTGTCCCTGTCCCTGTCCCTGTCCCAGTGACCCCAGTGTCACCCAGGGCCTGTCCCTGTCCCTGTCCCAGTGACCCCTGTCACCCAGTCCCTGTCCCTGTCCCTGTCCCCATCCCAGTGTCACCCAGGGCCTGTCCCTGTCCCTGTCCCTGTCCCTGCCCCTGTCCCCATCCAGTGACCCCAGTGTCACCCAGGGCCTGTCCCCATCCTGGTCACCGCTGTTCCCCGGGTCCCTCCATGTCCTTGTCCCTGCAGGAATGCTCCGGAACACAGACCCCAACTTTTCCCGGGGCACTCGGGATTTTCCCGCTGCTTTTATCCCACATCCCATCATTCCCATCATTCCCATCATTCCCATCAACACTCCCACCATTCCCATCATTCCCACCATTCCCATCCCCTGGAGCTCCCCCAACAGTGCCACCCCCTCCGAGCCCCTTGGGGACAGGGTTGGTGTCACCCCCATCCCGCAGCCACCTCGGGGATGAGGGGACGGGATGGGATCAGCTCTGGGGAGAACTGGAATTGGAATTCCCTGCTTGGAATTCCCTGGGACCCTGGAATTCCCACGGGATCCTGGGTTGAGGCGCCAGCACGCGTGTGAGGGACAGTTGTCCCCGGTTTCAGGTGACAGCAGCTGGCAGAGCCTGTCCCAGGCTGGAGAACATTCCCTGCTCCAGAGGGTGCCACCATCCACCCCTACAGGGATCCTGGGGTGATCCCGAAATCTGGGCAGTGGGAAAAGCGGGAATTCCACCTGCGTGAGAGCTCCGGGATCCCAAAATCAGCAGGACACGGAGCTGGAGAGGAGAGCACAGAGCTGCTCCAAGGCTAGGAGAGCTGGGAATGTGCAGCTGGATCAGGGAAGGATCCAGGAAATCCTTGGAGCCTTTTCCAGAGGCTCCAGGAGAGCTGGGATTTGGGCAAGGGCTGGAGGGCCAGGAGCCAGGGAATGGCTTCCAGTGGGAAAGGGGAGCTTGGGATGGTGGGATCTTGGGAAGGAATTCCCGGCTGGGCTGGAATTCCCAGAGAATCCCTGGGAGTGTCCAAGGGAATGCGGGATGGGAGGGGATGGGATGGGATGGGATGGGGACACATCTCTGCAGCAGGGTTGGGATTTGCAGTTTGGGATTTCTCTTTTGGGATTTGGGCTTTGGGAGCTGTTCCCAGAGTTGGGTTTTGGAGGTTGGGTTTTGGGAGCAGTTCCCAGGGTTGGGTTTTGAGGTTTTGGGAGCTGTTCCCATTGTGGGGATTTGGGAAGTGGGGTTTGGGGTTTTGGAGCTGTTCCTAGGGCTGGGATCTGAGCTCTGGGAGCTGTTCCCAGAGTTGGAATTGGGATCTGAGCTCTGGGAGCTGTTCCCAGAGTTGGCAATTGGTGTTTGGGGTTTGGGAGCTGTTCCCAGAGCTGGAACTGGGATTTGGTCTCTGGGAGCTGTTCCCAGAATTAGGAATTGAGATCTGAGCTTTGGGACCTGTTCCCAGAGTTGGGAATTGGGATCTGGCCTTTGGGATCTGTTCCCAGAGTTGGGATCTGGCCTTTGAGAACTGTTCGCAGAGTTGGGAATTGGGACCTGTGCCCAGAGTTGGGAATTGGGATCTGGCCTTTGGGACCTGTTCCCAGAGTTGGGAATTGGGATCTGGCCTTTGGGACCTGTTCCCAGAGTTGGGATCTGGCCTTTGGGATCTGTTCCCAGAGGTGGGAATTGGGACCTGGCCTTTGGGATCTGTTCCCAGAGTTGGGAATTGGGATCTGGCCTTTGGGATCTGTTCCCAGAGTTGGGATCTGGCCTTTGAGAACTGTTCCCAGAGGTGGGAATTGGGACCTGTGCCCAGAGTTGGGAATTGGGATCTGGCCTTTGGGACCTGTTCCCAGAGTTGGGAATTGGGATCTGGCCTTTGGGACCTGTTCCCAGAGTTGGGAATTGGGACCTGTCCTTTGGGATCTGTTCCCAGAGTTGGGATCTGGCCTTTGGGATCTGTTCCCAGAGTTGGGAATTGGGACCTGGCCTTTGGGATCTGTTCCCAGAGTTGGGAATTGGGATCTGGCCTTTGGGATCTGTTCCCAGAGTTGGGATCTGGCCTTTGGGAACTGTTCCCAGAGTTGGGA